CGATGATTAAACAAGTAAGATGGTTGGACGAGTGCAAAGCGTTTGTGATTGGATGCACCAAATGGTGGATAACCTAGGTAGTCAGACCAGTGTAAGCTCGGATAAATCAATCTTTTAAAATCTTCCTTCTTCCCCTCAAGTGTCTTCGCTCCGGTCCTCTCCCCGAGTGGTGGCTCTTCCGTTAGCTCCGTACAAGCTTAACGCTGCCCAAATCCGTGATATCGATTATGCACTTCCTTCATCACCAGCAATAGCACCTCGGAGGTCAGCCTCTTGCTCTGAGCACCAGTAGCTTCTTCGCGCTATCTCTTCGCCATTCTTGTCGAAGGGAGGGAGCGTTTTCGACTGTGAGTGTAGTAGCCAGCGTCCAATCGTTGTCGTGTCCCATCGTTTGATATACATAATCAAAATAAGATAGCTATGGCAAATAACTGCCTTCAATAATCCATATCATTATAGATTCAAGGGAGTGTAAATACAGATCCGCACCAAATTTTCGCGCGATCAGAATCACTAATCATTTTCCCTAATAAAAAAAAATGTATACACGTATCGAAGAGTCGAAGCGAATCAACGTCGTGCCGCGTTCGACCAACCAACACGTATTTGTACAGCACAACCACAGTATATCAAAATTAACGGCAGCAACGAATGCGCCACGATATACCCAATCACTTTCAAAAGCAGAAAGCCCTTAGTGATCAATTTCGTACTGTAGCTCGAGGTTCATCTGCGCCTCACAGTAGCATAGAGACTGGCCATTTGTTTGTAAATTACGGTAAAATCATTTCTGATAAGAATAATTTACCAGGTATTTTGGCCAATGACAATGTGGTTTGTCTAGTCGACCCTCCGTAAAACAAATTATCCAATCCTGTGTGTTTATTAAGATTTCTTTAAAAGACGTCTGACTTGCGCTTCTATAACACCTTGAGCTTTGGTTTCGAGAGAGTACAAAAAGACAATCCTCTTTTTCTCGAGCAAACTGGCACGAGTACATGTACATCTCTTTAGGTTTTGCTCTTTTTGCCCTCCGACCTCCCCATAATGAATTAACATTACGCAATTTTACTGTAGTAGGTTTACTGTTACAGTACTGCACCCCGTTTTCGCGCCATCGGACCTTCGATAAACTTCCGGATGTAATACTCCTCAATCTAAATGAAAAATGATTTGTAAGCTAGAATATATTTTATTTGCAAACCCTATATGATCACCCCCGCGAAAACGGGGTGCAGTAGTGTATCAAGAATCGGCGTCTACGAATTGTGAGTGCCGGTCGGTAATCACTGGCTTCAATTTGATGATCAAACACATGCTACTGGTAGACAGAGATGGCGTGAGAAAGCAATTATCGTGCTTTGAATAAAAAGCGGCTATTCACACCACTGTACTGTACGTACGTCATACATCACGATACAGACAACGACGATAAAATTCGCCATCATACAAATACGTCAGGAGCACTTGAAGCTCAGAACACAATATTTGAACAGGTTAAAACCCTTTTGAAGATAAAGCATTAGCATACATTAAATGGTGCAATTTTGTACCGGAAGCGTTAAAAAAAATTCAAGTCTCTCAACGTAAGCGCCATTCCACAGAACCAAGGTGTTATACCGCGCAACTCCGCCACGAATCAACCCAACAACGGCCAAGATGATAAATGTCAGCTTCCGAAGAACACGACAGTGCAAAGACAAGAAATCGATCGCGAAATGCAACGCGTTGCTTTAAAACTCAACTTATCAGGCAAACTTGGTCAAGGAGCTAACTGTCAGCTGAAAGAGCTCAAGGCAGCGCAACCGGAGCACAATTCGACCCGGGGCAACGTGTCGACAACCCTACCGGTACTGTCTACTGCTTTGCTTTGGAAGCAAATTGCTACCAAGCAGCCTCTACGTCGCCAGAGAGCAGAGAAAAGGAAGAAGAGGCTTAGGGGGGTTGAAGGGGTTTCTCTAACGTCGACGTGCTTTAGTAATACCGTATGTTTTGTGGAGCTAATGTGCTATCCTTTGTCGTGGGCGCATTTCATTGATTAAAGCAGATGTTGCACTTGCTTCGCAGCCGCAGAAGATGCTTCGATGCGAGTCTTGGGTTAACTGACAGCAAACAGTTTTGGTTGGGCAGATAGCTCGAGCTAGCAATTAACTATGCAACGCTTTCTGCTTACTATTTTTTTTCTTTTACTCAGTTCAGCACCTACTACTTTAATACTGTCAATGTACTGCAAAAACTCGTGAAACGCACGTCATTAAAAGTACCATCCATGTACCGTAATTACAGCTGGATGAACTACGTGTTGTATGTTATCGAAGAGATACAGTACACGACAACGCAACCTTGGAAAGTAGGAGCCGCAGTAGAAAATCGAAGAGCAGTGTACTCTTTGCCTGTCCACTTTGCTTTTTACCAGCAACACACTACAGCTACATTTCCGAAGTCTCTCCGCCCGCGCAAGACCTCAAGTTCCTCCGCCACAAGTCCCAGGTTCGAAGTCATGAAGTTCACCATTGTCACTACATTCGCCTCGATCCTGATTGTCGGAATCTCCGCCGAAGGTTTTGCTTGCGCCGCGGTTCCCTACATTATATGCGACGGTGGAAATAACCCTCTAGTCTGTGCAAGTAACGGTGTCACCTATTGGAAAGATGCGACTTCTACAAGGCCAACTGCGACAACAAGGGGCTAAAATGGCTCCACGAGGGCATGTGCAGAAGGGGCCGGCGTTTAAGAAATACCCAGGCTTGACCTGACTGTTGCCAAGCTGAATCAGCTGCTGATCGGCAGCCCCAGCGTGCCAGCTCCCACTAAGACCTTTTTATGTCTACTACCTCCTGTCATGCGTGAGCTCTTGTCTGGATGTGTGAGGCCACTAATAAGAAACCCTACGCTGACCTAAATATATTATCCACTGTTTGACGTCTTTTACTTAGCGCGGTTATCCAAGATCACTATAAAAAGCTGCATTTTCAAATCCACCATGGCACAACGGCCATTATGATGTCCATTAACTTTTTTAGGCTTTGTGGAGGCCTTGACTATTTAAGATTCAAGTATTGATCGATCAATTTTAACCAATACTTCACGTTTGTTAATGACCTTATTCCTGTAGAGCGGAAGCCTGTGTTTCATTAGCGTCGCGATACATCCGATGACGCTTTGAAGTTGCGAGCCCCCCCCCCCCTCCCTCCCTCTCTCTAGACCTTCGAGGTCCACGTCCCGCAATGTGAGCTTTACCGGGTACCGGTATCAGCACCAGGTGCTCCGAATCAATAAAAATGCTTCGAATATGACGGTAAAATATCTTGATTCCAGTATGGTTGAGCTGAAAAGATACTCCACGAATGTTTTTGATAACAAAACGTTTAAGTTCGAAGGCAAAAAAAGAAATAGCATCGAAAATGTAAAACTGTTCAATGTTGTGTTGACTTTCTCAGTCCACGCATACCCCCAAACATAACTACTTATGTACTCGCCTCAATTAAAAAAGAGATAATCTGGTCTATTTGGGTTTTGCTCTTGTAGTACTCCGACCTCCCCCAAAATGAATCAGCATTACGTAGTTTTACGATATTAATAGTAATTTTTCGTTCTGTTTACTAAGTATACAAGTAGATCTATATCTAAACACATTGTTTTAGACTGAAAGGAGAGACGTCGTGGAGAACTGGCAGCGTTTTTTGGCTGCAATGGCATGCGCTGTGGGGATATAAGGACGTAATCCAGTATCTCTTGGACAGTCCACGAAATACGCCGAGTCGAGTCTCCATCATCAGGCTTCGATACGGACCCCGCGTCTCCATACGACCCGATGACGGTAGCTTGGGTCTGTCGTGTTACCATGAACACTGGGACAAACACCCCGGAATCGTCGGTGAACCGCAACGTGAACGCATCAGCATCGAAGAGATCCAGCACCACAAGCACAGCAAGCTCACAAGCTTCTTGACGCTCCAATACGCGATGACCAATCTCGCTGATTATGGTCTCCGCTTGTAGTTATGCCTCGCTCTCAGTTCCAATCCAGCTAAGGCTAACGGCGTTAGCACACTCTGATTGATTTCCAGCACGAAAATGCTGTTCGTCTTGGTTAGTGTGACCCTCGGCTTCTTATTGGTCATGGACCGCGCACGTAGCTGCTGTTGCTTGAGTCGTTTAATAGCCGCTTCCATTGTCGGATGATACACGTTATGGTGAATCTGCGACGTCCAACCGCTCGCTTAGCCGTGTTGGATCCGCACACAGCCAGCTCCAACACCACACCAGAGGCTGCACGTTTGCTACTGGGAACATCGAAATTTGCGTCTTCGCTTCGAGTGTCTCTGTTACTTGCCACTTGTCCTGTGTTGTGAGGGAGACGGAACTGCAAGTAAAACCCCGAAGATTTGCTCCGCGGCATGACCACCAGTCTGTTTGACGACCAACCACGTAGCCATTAACCTGAGCGTAGGTGCTAGCCGCGTCATTTGAAGTGCCACCTGCATTGATAAGACGTAGAGAACATGGATCTAAACCTGCAAGATGCGTTTCTTGCATCTGGCAGTATCTGCTACTCCAAAAATGATTTACATTAAATAAAAATTGATTTTATTTCTATAATCCAAAAATGATTTACATTAAATAGAAAATGATTTCATTTCTCTTATCTATTTTCAAAAGTGAACTTGACATCGAATTTGTCTCGCTTAAAAACTCGTCATGCTTTCGCGCTTTAGTGACGTCACACATGTGGGGGCTTAAACATATCTCACCACGGTTTTGGATTATACTTCAAGTATAAGCCAATATAATATCGTTTTGCCAAAATCCATAATCAACCGAAAGTGCCAAAAAGTCTGCAAAGCACAATATGGTGTACTAAGCATTTATACATTTTTGTCCGACGATGTTTATGAGCCGAATGAATGGGCCTTGTACTAAACAAATGTCGCATCAGCTACACGCTGCTGTACGATTAACAGGGCGCTACAGTACGAAGTTGTTAGTTGGGAGTACCAATGACGCATAGCTCATTCTGCTATTCGGCCCCTCCAACTCACTCCTTTTTCGACTCGAAGCTTCCGAAGATGAACCTGGTAATATATGCCGTTGCTGTTATCACCACGATGCTCGCCACTGCAATCAATGCGCAGCAACTCTGCACAGCTCAAGGGTGTGCGGGCGTCTCTTCGGCATCAAATATTGCGACCAGCGCGTGCTGCCAAAGTGTAGTGTTTCCCGGGGTTTGAAAGCCAAAACTTGAGCACACGACGATGCGGGGACTAACCCGCACGGAAAGTAGTCGAATGTATTGATGTAATTTGCAACCACTTGAGTGATTGAAAGCAGAATGTGAAGTGAGGTCGAGTTGGGAACCACCAACTCTCACTCAATGCAAAGGGCATCCCTCAGCTCACCGAGATGGGAGGCAGTCAATCTGGCGTCACCAGATTGAGAGACGGACTGAAGTGGCCAGCCCCGAGGCTGTTCTGAACCACAACAATCAAGCCCAAAGGAAACATGTAAGCTCGGCCTACCTATCCTCATGCATGCTGACCCAAGCACTGACAGCTTGGCCAACCAATATAACAGTAACTTCAACGTCCTCCAGACTGGCAGCCGTCGGACACTCTTGGTCATCTGTGATTCCTTCTGTGGCTAGCGGGTACGTACCACTGGCGGTGGAGCCAAGGTGAAACGCTCGCATCCACTACACAGCCTCCGAAGCTTGGATCCACCGTTGCTCTCGCTATTGCATAGCGCCGAGTCTCAACAGCTTCAGATACCAACACTGCAAGTATTTGCACAACACTTGCACATCGTATCGCCCAACCTTACTTCTTGTACAGGCGGCGAATACGACGAATGCGTCGCCCACTACGCGTGAACGACGACAGGGACGCCATGCCCTCCGAAGCCTGGGCGCTCCCACCGGAGACCCTGATCCCTGATGGTGCATTCTCCGGCAAGATCCTGTTCGCCACAGCTTGTACGTCGTCCCCTCCAGTTTGTCTCTTACGAGACGTTCCTGTTGACCGACGACGCCGTTTCTTATCAGACGCTCGACGCCGTGTCGATGTGTCTGTGATCGAGGGTTCAGGAGCCACACCAGCCGATGTCACCGACACCACGCTCTGTTCTCCTTCGCCACTCACACGCATCCAATACGCGCTCAGCTCTTGATCCCCCGCTTGAGTCACATAGTTATTGACCAGGACATGAATCTCCTTGGACAGGCTCAGCATCAGCTCAAAAGAGTCTTCGATTGTCCGTAACCCTTTCCATCCCACTAGGAGCTCGTAGTCCTTGATGTCATCATTCCACTTGTGCTCCTTGAGGCCATCAATCGCCAGCAGAATACCCTGAGCAGCAACGTGCTCCAAGAGTTCGTCTGTCACCGCTAAACTGTCATCTGCATTACAGCTTGAGTCGTGATGCATGCACATCCAGTTCTTCTTCAGTCACCAAATGCTGCACGCGGAACGAGTGTGCATCAGCACGCACCACTCGATAGGGACCAATCCAGGTCACCTGTAGCTTGTTCCCGTGTTTTTCATCGACTCTAGACCGTAGAACGAAGTCAACAACAGAGAAATTCACAAGATTCTCTCCCCGCTCACGCTTCTTGTTCAGCAAGCGCTGCTTCTCCTTACGGTCTTGAACAGGTCCATGCATAGCTTGTATGCTATCACGCAACTTGCTCAGGAATTCGTCAATCTTCTCACACTCAGGAACCGTTTGTAACTCATCCTTCTCGGGCGAGTAGAATTCTCTCAGCGGTGTGGGGCACGGCAGGCCCGTGAATAACTCCAGTGGCGCCCGATTGCCCAACGACGGCACCGCCGTATGATTCAGGTTAGACTGTACCATTGGCACTAGGTACACCCAATCCTTGTATCCAATCTTGTACTCCAAGATCATCGCTCTGATCACCTGCAATATGTCCCTGTTCACGCGTTTCACGGAACCGTTGATCCAAGGGCAGTACGCTGGAGTGAAGGTCTGCTGCACTCGCAGACGTCGACTTAATTCGGCCACCACTTTATTCTTGAAATGCGTTCCTTGATCAGATATCCACTCTGGTGGAATGCCAAATCGTGAATGCCAGGCGAGCAGCGCCTCAGTCACCACTTGACTGTCGGCTGTGTCGGCCACCACCAGCTCACTATAGTGAGTCGCATGGTCCTTGAGGACCAGCAGGTATTTGCTGTCCCCATAACTCTGACCCATATAGAGGAAGTCGAAATGCAGCACCCCGTTACGACTGTTGCATTCCATCGTTTCGCCCCACGGCCTGGGCACAATCTTCCCCCCTCTCGAATGCGGACACAGCAGACACTGGCCCACAAAAGAGGCGACGATAGCCGATAGATGGTCGATAGCGAAAAGACGACCCAAATGAGCCACCATGGCATGCTGCCCACGGTGTCCCTGGGCACCACAGTGTGCCACAATACAGAGTCGCTGTATGAGGTCCTTGGCGTCGGGAGGCACCCAAATCTTGCCGTCAATAGTCAGCAACCCGTCAGCATTCCGATCTGCTGCTCCAGGTGCTGCGTACTCCGACTGCGTGTCGAATAGCTCGGCAAGAGTTGGCCAAACGAAATCCTCGTCGTCCAGAGGTCTCATCGGCGTCGGTCCTGTAGGCTGGACGGCAGGGGTCGTACGCCGACGTACCACCTTCAGCCGCTTGACTGTAGCTGCCGGAAAGTGATTTCCGGCCCAACGAGAGATCATATCCGCCCATACATTGGCATGGCCCGGAACATGCTCCACTTCGTAACGGAAATTCATCAGTTTCATAGCCCACCGCAACAATTTGCCCTTGATATGCTTCTTCACACTTTCATGAGGCGCCAACACATGAATTAGGTTGCGGTGATCGCAGTATATGCGAAATGACTGGGGTCGGAGGAGAAGGTAGTCAAGCATATCGCAAGCCATGACAATAGGAAACGCCTCCTTCTCTATGACGGTCCAGTTCAGTTGACTTCCAGTGAAAGTTCCACTCAAACACTGGAGTAGTTGGTGCTGCTGGTCGGTAGCAGGCACCTTCGAATCAAAGTTCACGACCTGGGTGACGATCACGGACCAGCCAATGTCCGAGGCGTCCGTGAATAGACAGGTCGTCGCCGAATCTTCAGGAAAATCAAGTGTAGCCGCCGAGGCTAACATCTCCTTCACGTCATCGAATGATTGACGTTATTCTTCCGTGAGCTCAATCTCGATCCCAGCAGCAGCTCGCTTCGTTCGCTTTGTGCTGGCCAGGGCTTGATCAAGACGCTTCTGCAACGGAGCAACATTTCTGGCGTAATCCACGATGCTTTCACGCATCCAGTTGATTGCGCAGACAAACTGTTGGAGCTCCGCAGCAGTCTTCGGGTATGGCATGGCTCTCAGTGTGTCGATCCGCTCAGAATCATGACGTACACCTTGGCTATTGATCAGCTTGCCACACCACTTTACTTCAGTCTGGTACAGGCTGCACTTCTTGGCACTCAGCTTGAGGCCAAATTGATTCAGCAGCGAGAAGAACTCAGCGAGTTTCTCGAGGTAGACATCAATGTCGTCAGCAGACAGGAGCAAATCATCAATCCAAATTAGTAGATGCTCGTACAGCAGACTGGCAAAGCATTCTTCCATCGTCTTCTGGAAGAAAATTGCAGCATCACTGCAGCCTTGGGGTACTCTCCGAGGTGTGAAAATGATCTCGTCCGTCATGTACGAGAGAAACTCCTGACAAAGTTCAGCGAGAGGCAATTGCCAGAAACCCTTGAGAAAATCAAATAAACCGAAATGTTTCATTCCACGTGCATTCTCCAGAACTAGCGACAAAATGGGCATGACAGCCGCCATCACCTCCGTCTTCTCGTTCTGCTCCCGGTAGTCCGTAGTTTGGCGCAAATCCATGCGGTCCGCAGACTTCTTGACTGGTAACACAGGACTTGCCCAACGACTATTGGGATTCTCGTACACCATTCCTAAGGCAACCAGACGAGAGTTAAATCCACGGAGAAAATTTCGGATGTGTGGCGGGTACTTCCGCGGCTTACACTTGGATGGACGAACTCCTTCGCGAAGACGCACTCCCAGCGGTGGCACATTAGCCGGCGGATCAGCACGTAGCTCCAAACGCCACACATCATAGGCATGCACAATCGCACACAACTGCTCAGCTCGATCCATAGGGAAAAAATTATTCTCCACCGCACGAGAAATCAAACGATCCACTGCAGCAAAGGTATCATCATCACTTGATGAGGGTCCATCTGGGTTGAACGGCATCTCGTCCGCCTCCAACTCAATCGAATCACCACTAGTCTCATCGTCTCCACGGCTAGCCAGTTGCTCCAGTTGCTGGTCGACGTTAATACCCAGCATCACAAGTAAATCGTTACCCACAATGAACTCGTCATCATCGACGTCCATGATCAAAACATCCACAGGATCCATCGGCTTGACAGGTCCAGCGGCAGTGTGAATCATCACATGTAGTCGGGCCTTCGAATCAGCCGACACCCACGACGATCCAAAAGCTTGGTTGCGAATAGGAACCTCCAATGGCTCAGCCTTCACGCTTGGATCAGCGAGGCACAACTTGTCCCAGTACGAACGACCAATTACTGTATGGTCGGAGCCGCTATCTGGACAGTACGGGAGTTCCAGCACACATTCAAAGTCACCATACGATCTGAAGTCGGAATCATCTCGCCAAGACGCTTGACACGAGCTTTCTTCTTGTGTCTCGCTTCACGGAAACGTTTGAACAGCTCGTTCTTCTCCTCTTCAGTTGCCTTCGGGCAATTTCGCAGCCAGTGCATCTCTTTGCACTTGAGACAGGGCCCAGGTGGTCCACCGGACGTCCTTGGCTTCTGCTCACCTTGCGGCCTAGCTTGTACTGCATTCGTGCTCGAGCTAGCCGATGTCGTTGAAGCCACCGTCGACTGGTTGTGCCCAACGCTTCTTGGTGTTCACAGGTGGGGGCGCACTCTTCTTCTTGGACTCCTTCTGCTCGCGTCCAAACGGCGTCTCCCTCTGCTGCTTCAAACGTTGGTACTGGCGCTCATGCTCAGTAGACTTCTCTACAATTAGATCGAAAAGTAGTCTTGGGTCACCGGACGCGGCCTTGTGTGTGAAACGCACACACTGTTTCACCTCCATCTTGAGAGTCTTGGGCTGCATCGAAGCTATCAATCTCTTGCACTTCTCCTTGACTCCGTCCGTCTGGCTGAAACACTCCGTGAGACCA